CGCGTCTACATTGGCCACAGACGCTTTTCCGGGAAAAGGGCTTTTCCGGAAAAGCAGCCTGCCAATGTAGACGCTCCTTTTCCGGAAAAACTGAAAACGGAATAGTATTCCGTTTTAAGCAGTTCCGGAAATTCATGCCAGTGTAGACACAGCCCAGTTGTCTTGTCTCGCTCTGCCTTTCCCCAGTGCTGCTTAGGGCTGGTTGCCCGATGGTTTCAATTAAAGTACAGAAAGGACACACTTAACATGACATCAAAATCTACATGACATCTTATTTAGAAAATACCAGACATTGATATTTTCTCAATTTGTTTCCCAAACAGAAAGCTCAAATATTGGACTGTCCAGTTCAAAACTGGACACCTGACAACCCTAGGTATGCCCTGTTCAAAGTACCCCTACTAGGCTGCTTGGTCCCTCTTCCTCCAGAACTAGAGCAAAGATAAACACTCACTGCATAGCAGCCCTTTTATACAGCCCAGCTGGGCTGTGATTGGCTGCATCAAACCTCCTTCCAGTTGGCTTCTAAGACAGCCCTCTCCCACAGTTTTTTTTAAAATCCCTTATAAACCAGAACAGAGCAACTGCCCCATTTCAGTCCCATACCTGAAATGCTGATCTTTTTCTGGACGTGCAGCCCCAAACTGAAAATGGAAGTTTATATGCTCCAGCCCTGCGTTTGCCACAACTCTCAGTTTTGGCACCCCATTTAAGGTCACTCTATCCTATAATCTTGATGTCATTTTGCACTGGCTTTCAGGAAAAAAGATACAACATTCTCTCTTTTTTGCTTAAGTAGTCTCTCCTCACCTTAAAGTAATTATTAAGAAGAAAAAGTGATGTGATAGATGTTAGAAAACTTTTAACTTGAAATCTATGACCTCCATCACTTTATCTCACTTCTCTTTAAACTCTGTTCTAGTTCTAGCCTTCACAGCCTCCTGCAGCAAGGAGTTCCACAGATTGACTATTTGCTTTGTGAAGAACAACTTTCTGTTACTAGTTTGAAGCCTGCTACCCATTCCTTTCCTTTGGTGTCCTCTAGTCCTTCTATTATGGGAACTAATGAAGAACTTTTCTGTATGCACCCTCTCCACCCCACTTATGCGTTTATAGACCTCTATCCTATCCCCCCTCAGTCTCCTCTTTTCTAAACTGAAAAGTCCCAGTCTCTTTAGCCTCTCTTCATATGGGACCTGTTCCAAACCTCTGATCATTTTAGTTGCCCTCCCCTCTCGCACCCTCTCTCTTCCCCTCTCCCCCCTCCTTTTCCCAGTCTCCCCCAGTTTTGTTCAATAAAGAGAGATTCTATTTTTGACCACACGTGTCCTTTATGTTGTACATCAGGAAGGGGGGCTAGGGAAGGGTAAGTGGAAGGAGGTGAGGGAGGAATGGGGTACGAGCCCCCGATGGGGAGGACTGGGCTGGCTCTGCGGGCTTCTGGGGGTGGAAGCTCTCCTGCAGCCCCCCGATTGCCCCCTCTCCCCAGATGGCAGCCTGCGGCAAGTGCAGCCGGGCTGATGGCCGAGTGCTGTGATGTGCCCAATGTGGGTACTCCGGGCAATCCAAGCCAGGACTGCTTTGCAAGTCCGGGGTGGCGGTCGGGTCCCTTTAAGCACAGCCCTTGGCTAGCCTGAGGCAGCAGCTCCACGCTCTAAGTCCTCCTCTGATGCCCTGCCGGCACTGCTTCCAGCCATCCTTAACCCCGGTTCAGGGTCCACTTAATGTGGACATGCTAGTTCGAATTAGCAAAACGCTAATTCGAACTAGTTTTTAGTCTGGATCCGTTAGTTCGAATTAGCTTAGTTCGAATTAACTAATTCGAACTAAGTTAGTTCGAATTAGCGCTGTAGTGTAGACATACCCTATGAGTCTATGAGAATTGACAACTTTTTTTCTCCATTTTTTCCTCTTCTCTTTCCGTCCCCATCCCCTCTTTTTTTGCTATTTATTTGCAACCCGGACTCCTTTACTCCATTCATCTGAAGAAGTGGGTTGTACCCACAAAAGCTTATGATGCCATCTACAATTTTTGTTAGTCTCTAAGGCTATGTCTAGACTGCAGGCTTCTTTTGGAAGAAGCTTTTCTGGAAGAGATCTTCCGAAAGAAATTCTTCCGAAGGAAAGCATCCACATTGCCAAAGCGCATCGAAAAAGTGATCTGCTTTTCGAAAGACAACAAGCATACTGAATGGACGCTCTCTCCCATGTAACCTGTGATTATTATGGGAGGAATGGCCACCAGGAAGCCTGTGTTATTTCCTCTTTCATCTTCTGGTGAAAGAACTCCCTCTTCCCTGTCCACACACGCTTTTTTCTGAATGATCTCTTTCGGAAAAAGGTTTCTTCCTTGTAGAAAGAGGTTTACCAATGTTGGAAAAAACCCTCAGTTCTTTCAAATTTTTTTGAAAAAATGTGATTGCAGTATGGACATAATTGAAGTTTTTTCAGAAAATCTG